GTAAAATCAAAGCAAGCGAACCAAAAAGAACAGGGGCCAACATGGCTGCCCATGGGCTGCAGCAGCAACTTTGACTCCTGCAGCACCATGAGATGGAGCTGGGGACTTATGGATGGACAGAGGGAAGATGTAGCAAGAGGCAAGAGGCCACTACCTGAAGTTAACTGTGAGTTTGGAAACTAGCTGCGATCATTTTACATATTGCGGAACTAACGTGTGAGTTGTCAATGTGCTGGCTAACAGGTAGGAAGGCAGCAAAGCTTTCCAACTTCTTGAGGAGCTGCACTGCCTAGGCTGGTGTCTCCGATCATGGATCTGCAGCACAGAGATGTCTCTCCTGGGATGTTCTGTGTTTCTGCCCCACGGCACCTCTGGTCCGCCACCAAGCCACGCAGTTGTGTGCAGGGCAGCCTCTCACACATCGCTGCAGCCCCCACAAGTCTACACTGCACAAATAGGATAATTGTGAGAAAGATAGTGTCATGTCAACTTTGTTAAAATAGGATGCTGCTTTTTTATAATTGATTTTTTTTGGTTGTTTGGTCAGCTGGTTGTTTGGTTGTTTGAAAACAACTGGACCTTGGAAATGAGTGGTAGAGGACGCAGGTGTTTTAAGATTTCCCTGTCAATGCAAGTGACTGTAACAGGATGTTCTCTGCAGCTCAGTACAATTTTAAATGACTCAAGCAGTGACCTCTTGGCCATTTATTTGAGGAGCCTGTTCCAGAGACTAGTAAGCTTCACTCCTGAATCTACTCTGAACTTCCCTTTGCTCAGAAAGTTTGGTCTTATTTTCCACGTAGGGCAAGGTGAAGGTGTTGTCCTTCTCTCTTGCTCGAGGAGCTTGTTTCCCAGCAGACCTGCTGCCTCTCCTCTTTGAAGACAATTTTAACTTCAGAGGCGGAAATGTGTTTTCACTGCTTTCACTCCAGTTCACCTGCAGAGCCAGGGGAGGGAGATGCATCCCATTCTGAGTCACTCACTTGTCTACTTAGTTGTCAACAAGAGGGTCAGGCTTCAGGGACAAATTCTTCACGTGCTTGAAGTTACGCATTGAGCGCTTTTTTCGCTCTGACAACAGTCCAGCAGTGGCCCAGGTTGGCCAGAGAGGTTGTGCAATCCCTGCCCTTGAAGGTTTGTCAGAATCCAACTGAACAAAGTCCTGCATGATCTGATCTGATCTCAGGGCCAGCCCTGCTGGCAGCAGGGGTTGGGCTAGAGACCTCCTGACACCCCATCGAGCCTGCATTTTCCTATGAATGTATTACCTTGGGCCAGCTCTTCTGATCTGATTGAGCTCTGACCCCTGAGCATGAAGTGAAGGAAAAGGGAGGGATGGTAACATCAGCTAACTGCCCTAGAAATCAGTTCAGACACCAGACCCTTCAGAGATGGGGGGAAGATCTTGGCACATGTCCTGCTGCTGCTAACAGCCTCTTTTGTTGAAAGGTGTGTGGAGCTTTACAATAAGACCATTGCTGGGGGTTGTTCTGGGAAAAGTCTCTTCAGAAGATGAATGCACTCTCTTTAGGTTTTGGGTGCACTGAGTGAGAGCACAAAAGCAGAGAAGTGGCTGAGGACATTGTCTTGGCAATTGTCTCAGAGGTGATGATGAGGTTGGAATTCATCTCCGTGTTTCCTTCATTGCTGGTACCCACACTTCCATCAGAAGATCGTAACTGATGCCTTAATAACATGAGCTAGTAGAGCTTGAGAAATTATTAAGTATGGTTTTTACTGTTTTGATTTTAAAACTTGTTTCAAGTTGAACATATTTGATCATTCATTGAGATCCTAAGACCTAAGAATTGCCATAATTTTGCCATTACCTTTGCGGAGTTAGATCTTTAACTGAAGTTCATTTTCAGACACGGGCTTTTACCACAGAAAGTTTAATGTCTTAGTAATTATTTTTTTTTAATGCCAGCTGGAAAGGAAGGGTGAGAACACGTCAGGAGAAACAGGCCTCACTTCTGATGCAAAGGGAGCTTTTAAAAGGGAAAGAGAGGAGCACAAGAAGCTTCTGGCTGAGAGTCATAGTGCGGTGATGGACCTCCGCTGGCAAATCCAGCACAGTGAGAAGAACTGGAACAGGGAGAAGGTGGAACTCCTGGACAGGCTTGACAGAGACCGGCGAGAATGGGAGCGTCAAAAGAAGGAGCTGATGAGGCGGATAGAGCAGGTAAGGACTCATCTTGGGGTGAGCAATGGCTGGCTGCAAGCATGAGGCGTTGCACCATTACTACACTCAAGCCAAGGCTGAGAGACTGTATTAAGAAGCAGCACAGAACGATTTAGGTTCCTTGGCTACATCAGTGTTTCTCATGCTACAAAGCAATTTACATACTCAAGGGAGTAAAAGGAAAATGCTCATAATCCCTATAAAAGACCACATATGAGAAATCAACTCCAGGTTAAAGGCCATTTCCTGCCTCGTTTCAGTTGCCCTGGACAGGCATGGTCACATCGATTCATTCTGTCTGAAAGCTTTTGCGCATCCCTTCGTGCTAAAGCACTCAGTCCCACATGCAGGGTTATTCAAGGTTTGATATACAGCTTCCTGCCAAAAAAATCTGTTCGTCTGTGAATTAGCCACCAAGGATGCAGCTGCAGCAACTATTGAGTCCCAACCAAATTATTTTTCTCTAGCAAAGGAACCCAGGGGTTAGCATGAAGAGCCCTGACTGATAACAAATAAACAGCTATCAATACTAAGTATTCACTTCTGACCTTGGTCACATGAATTTTGTGCACACCTCTGCTATCGTTTCCAAATCTGATAACTGCATATCTATCCTCTTATTTTTCATGCCTATCTGTACTTTCATCTGCTTAGTATTAGAGACAAATTATACCTAGTGAATTTATTATCTGGCTGGAAGCCACACAAAAAATTAAAAAGTTTAATGAGGGAGAGTTAATACAACATTTTTGACGGAACATTTTTCAGCTCTGAGTCATGCATTCCAGGAAAAGTAAGAAAAACAACTCGAATTGTGGGTCCTCAATTAACTGAATACTTTCTGTCCTTTAGGACATCAAAAATGGAAGAGCACCAGATTTGTGCGTGCTCGCTAGGGAGCACTGCGCTTGAATGAAGCACAAAGTAGCTTCACAAGTTAAGTTGATGAAAGCCCAGTGTAACTTCATGGCTACTTTTTGAAAAGGGTTTGTTATCTGTGTCTCATGTTCCCATGCCTGAGCTGCAACAAGAAGCTAAAGAAAAGACACCAGACTGTAAATATTATCAGTTTAATATTTTAAATATCAGTTTAAGCTATGGCTGTTAAACCCACAGAGATGCACTTAGGAAAATGCTGTACTCTACAGATATTTCTAAAATCGCTGCTAAAAGTGTAGGTCTGAGTAGGCGGTGATCAATATGAAGGTTTTACAGGCCAAGAATTTTGAGTTTCTAAATTTAAAAATATCAATAAATATTATTCTGGATTTTTTAGTCTCCCATTTATCTGAGGGTTTTTGCATAAAATTCATGCAGCTTGTTGAGCTAGCCCTTGTAACGCAGCCCAATAGTACGTCTCCTAAGATAAAACAACCAATGCCCATGAGCTAGGAAGGCTTGTAGCAGAGCTCATCAACCAAGTTACCTGGTTTCCAGGGCTCAGTGGCAGAAGGTGCCAAGTTCTCCATGGCTTGACTGGGCTGATTTCTAACTGTCGAGTTTCAGTGGCCAAACTGCCTCCTGTGAATCCTTCGTGCACAATGGGATAATAACCATCAGAAAATTTCACAGTATACTAAGGATGTGGACACACACTTTTCTTGGAGAGTCACTGGTGCCTCTCTGGATGTTTACACTGCTGTACCTGTGAACTGTATTTTTTCATTATCTCTTTAGTGCATCCTCAATAGCTTGAGGGACTTAACCTGGTTAAAGACCACTTTTTCTATTCCCTAGGAATGGGGCACATTGAAGGAAGCGACAGAGAAATCTCTGTTACTGTTTCCTACCCTTGAATTCTCTTTAAACCTGACATAACCTCTCAGTGTCATCTTGGGAGAGCCTACAAAATAGCTCTTAACTATTCCTGGAGCTGATTTCTTTTGTTACTATTCTGAAACCTCTGGGGTTTAACTATATATTTTCTGTAAAATAGAGTTGTACACAGAATTAGCAATAGATAGGGGAAATGAAAGATGTTACATCAAGCTAATTTCAGAGGACTAGATGAACAGAAATATCATTTGAATTATTGGCTACCAGCCTGAAAAACTTCATAACTCCATCTTTGCTTATAATCAAACATTTCCCTGTGTGACAGGAAGCTTCCAAATACTTGCAGGCTTTTAGTTGAATATCCTCTCAGATTGCAGTCATGCCCTGCTTTATATGGAAACAATCAGTATATCTCTGAAGTCCTTCTCCCTAGGGTTTTTCTGTGTGTATTCCATGTATGGCAATATGTAGAGGATGAGGACACTATACCAGTGTACGTTTGAAAAACAGAGTCTAAGAGGTAGCAGAAACATGCGTGCCACGTTTCATACTAATGCTTTATGCCTGTCTGCTTTCACACAGCTCCTGAATAATACATATATGATAAGAGGGAAGCTCACACCAATATATAAAATATATAAAATACTTTACTCTGGATGGTTATGGGAATACTGCTCGCATATAAAAAACATGATGACCTACTTTTTTCAGAGCTCAAAGTTGTTTTTTTCTTTTCAAGTACACTGTTGCTTTGTTTTCCCTTAGAGAATCCCCCTCCACTGTGCTCCTAAAGATAATTGTGCACAGAGCACACTGGCAAGTACCTAAACCCACAAAATCACCTGTATGAAAAGTTGTGTGTTTAAAGGTATAAACACATGGGGACTCAAAATCATTAGTCACTCTTGAAAAGTTAAACCAGTATTTCTCACTTTAATTCTCCTGTCAGCTGTCTGAGATTCGGAGAGTGAGCCAATAATCTCTACTGTTTTCTCATAAAGGTTGCCAGGTCATTATCCCTATAGGATCTCTGAAAACCTGGAAGGGCTTGCAATTAAAACTGTGTATACAGAAAACATGATTACAATTTCTCCTTGCTTCGAGTCTTGCCTATATGCTGGTGAATGGACTCCAGAACCTCTTGAGATATACCCTCCAGTCCCTATCTTTATAGGATACTTTAAATTAGCTCCTTTTAATAAAACTATTTCACGTTTTGTATATCGTGAGCAAAACACAGAAGATGCATTCCTCTTTTTGTAGACCTGAATGGAGCAGAAATCTCACTGCCTTCAGCCCAAGTGCAAATGTAATCATTTGGGACCTAAAGTGTTTTAATCTATATTAGGCAATACGATATCTGTTTGTTTGTCCAAATACATACAACCAGATTAAAATAACACGGTTTTTAAGTCCTCAGTCGCCAGGGTCCTAGGGAATGACTTGCATTTGCAGGTTATTGCCACTAACCTTAGCACACTGCTCTAGCAAAACATCTGAGTTACCTACCAGATTCCTGCTGTCGTTCATCATATATGAAAATATCACTTACTTCATCTGTCCTGTTATACTTACAATTAAAGGAGAAGTTGGTCACATAATCTAATTTTAAGATTGGCAATTTTACTAGTGGTTCACCCTCTCTTCACCCAGCTTTTGCAAAGTGTAGAGTTAATAGCTTTGATGGCCCTTCTATAAATATGCATTTTCTTCAAACATGCTTTGCATGCCTAATTCATCCCTTTGACAATGCTGTTCTGTACAAATAGTCAACTTTCTAGCCATGCATTAGGGCTAGACCATCTATAAAACAAAGCTTTTGTCTTTTGTTACGCAGAATTTTCCACCTCTTGTAACAAGGGATGTACATAAAAGTGCAACCTTTGTATTGCTGACCAGAAAAAAAATATTCTTGTTTTGATGAGACTCCAAGTCACTCACCCTTCTGTGAGCTTCTACTTGTATTGTTTTAGGATCTTATAGCAAGATTACTTTTAAATAACAGTATTTATTTGTTTCCTTTAAAATCAGATTACAGACAGATTCATTATTTTGTGTATATATACACACAGTGTGTAATATGTATATATATATGTAAACAAATAAAACTATATATATACACGTTTAATCACTCAAAATCCCATGAGTAATACATCTAAGTCCTACAGACACTTCCCTTTGTGAAAGGTCTGGTACAGCAAAGCCAGCGTCCCTGTAACCAGGTGGTGATCTCAGCCTCCCCAAGGCACGGGTGCCTCTCTCAGGGGAAGGATGAGTTCTGCAGAATGCCATGCACTATGTAAGTAATTGCTGTTCATTTTAATTTGTCTTGTTTCCAGCTTCAGAGAGAAGTGAGCCCACGAAGAGGAGGTAGCTTTCTGTGTGACCAGAAGGAGAGTAACCTTCGTCCATTTACAACCCAGGGGAACCTTCACGTGCCTCGTCCGATGGGGTCAAGATCCTACTCTGACTCAGACGCCATTCAGTTTGACGATCGGTCCTTGTCTAAGCTGAAGGAGAGTGATCGGTGCAGTGCCACAGAAAACCTCTTTCTGGAGTCACTGTCGCTTGATTCCCCTGAGTCTGATGAGCACCGGTCTCGGCAGCTGGAGCGGGAGAAATTCTTGACCGGATTAACAGAAGTATGTGCTCTTCTACCTTTCATCAAGCCGGCGTATTGTCTCTTATGTCAGAATCCCTGTGCTATGGGAAGTCAGATATTGTGTCATGGGCACTGCTTACAGTTACCCAGTAGTGAATTTGGTATGGATGAGATTTCATTCCTTGTTACAAGCTGATTAGACCAGTGTCAATCACCTGAGAAACTGGGAGCCAGCCTAAAGGATGTTGTGGTTCAGCCCAGCCGGCAACTAAACGCCACACAGCTGCTTACTCACCCTCCCCAACCCCTGGGGCAATGGGGAAGAGAATTAAAGGGGAAAA